CGTATGCCATCTGACCGACCAAGCCGCCTGATGATTGCTTTTACGAAAGCGGGTTCACGCTTCTGCAGCCTCGTGATTCGCTCTTCGGCGTTCTCATCGGCAAGTACCGCCGTTTGATTGGCTGTGGATGGATAATGAGATGCTCGTCAATCGCCGCGCCCTTCGGTGGCTCCTTCGTATGGTTTCCGTTCGTGACGTCACGGCCAGGGTCTGCCTCGCCGCGTGAACTGGCGATTGGAGCAGGCATTAATCAGTATCCAGGAAGCTGGGGTTTGTCCAGTCGCGAACTCCGACCGCAGCGATGCTTTTGGTCGCGCGCGTCGCCAATAGGTGGTGTAGAATCGCTGTTCAGGGCAGTATACAGTTACACTCGCAGCTCCTGACTCGCTCAAATTAAAAAAAAAAAAAATTCACTTTTTTTTTAATGTTGTTGTGGTCTTTGTCGTCACATCCTAATGTTTAATTACTTTCGCGCACGCTCCCGCTGTAGGCACGCGCCTCTTCTACAATCATCCCTTGGTTACACCGGCAATTACTACGTTGTTATTGCGTGCAACAGTGCACGGTTTTTGAAGCGAGGTCCTCGAACGAGCGACAGCTGCCCGTCCGATGCGCGTTCCAGCAGACTCGAAAGCAGGTGGCAACTGCTGCGTGTCGCTGCCGCGAGGGCTGCCGCCGGCTGCAGGTGCTGCCGCCTCGCGGAGGGCGTCGTTGGTGTTCGGCCAGCGCTCTTTGGGCCGTGTCGGATTGGCCGATGCCGGTCACGTGGCCGAACGGGGGTCAGTGTGTGGAAACGTCATTAAGGAAAAGAGGGGGGGGGGGGGGGGGGGGTCCAAATATATACGCGCACTTCGCTAAAAAGAGCGTTATCCCGCAGCTGTTGGATGTTCGAGGTTCCGAGGAGGACCGCGATTTGATGCGCTTTTTAGTTTCACCCCCTGAACTGCGTAGAAAACAAAACGCTGAGAAAATAGAGGTCGTTGCGGGTTCTAGAAATAATGAACGGGTTCGTTCACTGCGCTGAATTTAAGGATGCGTTCTTTTACTTTATTTCGCTGCGTAAAGATTGAAATCTGTCGCACTGTAGTAAAGCTGGATTTAGGGGGGATAATAACGTAACTTTTGAGTACCCTAATGGGTGCTGATATTAGTATACTTTGTGGTGCGATGCTGTTTTCGGTCGGTGCTTCGTCGCCATTTGGGATAATGCTACTCTTGCATCTTTCCTGTGTTTGCCCGCTGTCAGCGTGGGGTGCTTCAACGAATATCATCGCTGTAAGACGTAGAGGCACCCCTGCGTAATACTATTGTAAATAAAAAAATTCTGCAACGACAGAACAAGTGCCCTTCTCTATGCTGAAAAGATCCACTTATTTTAGCTTACTCCCTTAACGCGAATGACAGTACTCACCCCCCCCCCCCCCCCCCCCCTTACCGCAAAAACTAACGAAAGCACCAGACGATCTAAGGAAACCAAGCGAAACTAAGATTCCGCTGCATTTCGCCAGTGACTATAAAGTGGAGCAAAAGCTATTCAGACAGTTCCCTAACAACTTATCCGACCGCTTTTCCTCTACACACCTCCGCTGTCATTTGCTTTGTGGCAATCCGTTTTTATAGTTTTGTTTAGCTTTTACACAAACGCGCAGCTGAATATCTGGTGCCATCGAAACAGCTGGTCCTTTTATACAGTACACAAAACGGTGAACACCAAGAAAACAGCTTGCTAACTTACTTCCATTTAGTCAAAAAAAGGAAAAAAAGAAGGTAACTAGCGCTGCGCACCTTATTTGCAACATTCTTGCGTCGTGGCCCAATCAGCCATGAGTGATGACACGGCGCGCGAGCGGCACTGGTGGTGCATTGAAAAGCGCTAATGGTGGAACTGACATTCTTGGTTTCAATCTTTTTTTCCCTGCGGTATGCAGTAGGGTCGTGTTTATATACGTAGAGACGGGAAAATATTCGCCCACTTACAAAAATAGAAGCTTCAAATAGAATATCACAATATTTGCGCGTCGCTAATGTATAAACCAACATGGTCGCCTACTATTAAATATTTCGTGTGCCGTCGCATGACATGCAGATTTAATGGTCTTGTCAGTAGTACATTGATCGTTTTTTTTTTTTTTTTTTGAGAAACTACAAAATTGTGGTCGCATTGGACACAACTTGTGTTCGCTTATATTTCGAATCACAAGTTTTTTTTTTTTTTTGCGAGGTTTTATGTAGCAATGTGAAATCTCGTGTTGAGGCGTCTCACTATAGCTACTTCTAGCGGCGGCCACACCGCGGCGCGCAAGTCGTCGCTTCACACAGCGCCTGTTCGTATTGCTGCATTTGCTAGCGGACATCCTTCTAAATGCTGACTTAACCCCCGAGCGAACTTTCAGCTGCTGAACTGGGTCTTTTTCAGCTGTCGACGATTACGGTGCAGCAAAGGATTTAGTCTCGCCTCGTCGAGTTTTAGCGTGGCGAAACTAATTACATAACCGTTTGGCAGATGCCGAACTCTTTGTTCCCACGATTGACATTGATTTCACTGATCGTTCGGGACTTTGATTTAAGCTGCGCTTTTGCAAGCAATGTGCGTTCATCGTTCCGGAATTTGTTAAGTGTACTGTTTACCGGTTTTGAGTAAAACGTATTTTTTTGTGTGTGTGTGTTCTTATGTACTTCTCGAGCCCTAATGATCGCTACAGTTCGCACATAGAACACCTACTTGCGATTCTCTCCAGGGCATAGCGATTGCTTGAGATGAACTTCGCACTTTGTGGTTCGGCCTGAGATGCTTTGTTAGAACCTGGAAAACCCGATTTTTCCCCATAAGACGGCATAGTCGGAATGCCAGTTGTCCGTTGCTAGAGCTTTTTTTACCGCCGGAGATTTTACAGCGTCTCATGCCATCGTGTTTTATTTCAGCCAACGTCGACAAATCTAGGCATTATAGTAAGTAACCTCTTCGTTATCGAACTCTTAGAGAAAGGGCACATTGTCATGCGGTGTGGCACGCTCTGCGGAACGAAGGAAAAGAACGCTTAAGCGGTGACACATCGGGCGAGAACTCCGTACATGAAAGGTCGCCGCGGTTACCCGGACTGATCTGTTTTCGGGTGATAACAATAGGTGACCGGGTATTCAAAAGAAGCGCACAAAAACTCGCGAAGCTCGTTTTGCACCCCGCATTCCTTTACGTTGGCGGCGGTCTCTTTAGGGACATGTGGCCTGCTTTGTTTCGAAAGAGTATCGCCACTAAAGCATCCGGACTTCACCTCGCTCTCAAAAAAGTGGGTCAGATGGTCTTCCACTGGCTCGCCGCATCATCGGTGCGAAGACTGGGCCGGCCGCGCGCATCTGGATACTTTTCTGCTTGTCGAAAAACCTTGAGCATGTACGTCGTCCCGCGCTTTTCGAGTGTCATCAAGGTGGTAGAAACTGGCCTTAGAAATCGGCACGATTTTCTAGAGCCCCGAAGCGGTGTCGAGGTAGGCTATACTCTATTTCTAACACGTCTACGTTCCGTGATGTTTCCTCGTTGATCTAGCGCCCGGGAATCCCAATCCGCTTCTGGGTTCCTTTGTTGCGGGAAAAGAGCGACGTGCGTGTGATGCCTTTACCTTCCCGGGGGTTGTAGGACAGCGGGATGTGGTGCGGAAACGGGATGTTGATGCGCGGCGGACGTCCCCACGGCAAGGTGGTTGGACTCGCCGTGTGCACGCTCTCCATTTATGACGTCGAAGAAGCCTGTTGTCACTACCATATTGCGTTTGCCTGTTGATTATTGCGATTACTAATTATTCTGCAGATGCAGTTTGTCCTTTCCATTGTTGCTTTATGCAACCTCTACTTTATGGTTACTATAACACATTTCATTATCCACAGGATTCGTAGAATGGACTGATTTTCGCTTCTCCGTTTATTAAGCTCACGTTATCGTGATCCCGGAAGAGACTCTTTTATGCTCCGTTTGAAGGTAGGTGCGAGCATAGCTGGAGTGCAAGCGTTGTTCGAAAGATGCTGCCTTGGACAGCTCTTGCACTGCACATGCCCGTCAGGCTTAGACGGTGCGCTCAAAGAGCCAGACTCACTTTCGTAGCTTCATCTTCGCTCGCACTCATAGAGAAGGCGGCGCCGTTTCTCGATAATTGAGCGGTCACTGTGTAACCATTCGGACACTCCCTTCAGATGTGCGATTTGTGCTGTCCTCATCATTCGACGGGAGCTCCCATCTGTTTTCTTTCCTACGGTGGCCAAATTATGCTTATGACATGGGTCTGACTTCTGAGAAGCAACTGCCTTCTACTTTGGGTAATGATTGTCGGGTCATACATTATGACTATTTCTCGTTCCTTCTGTGCAACGCCTCGTTTATGTTTGCATACGGAGAGAAAAGTTGAAGCCTGTACATTTATATAGTGAAGAGATATCAGTGACTCAAAACTTGTGACTTCTTTAGCAAAAGAAGAAAAAAAAAAGAGTTAAAGTTTATTTGAGGGAACAATATATTTAGCCACCCCCGTGAGGTTCGTTGCAACTTTCTGGTAGACGCGCACTGGTCATAGGATATGACGCACATCCGATGTGGCGCCGATGTTCTTATCACGGAGTTTCTTTTATTTACCGCGTTGTTGCGACGTCGTTCGAGAACTTCCTTGTGCGCGAGCGCTCTTAGCGTTAAATTGGAACACTTCAAAAAGTTTTGTACCAAGAATCAGAATGATCTCGCATAGGTTTCGGAACGGATGCGGTACGACTTTCCCATGATCGTCATCGCACGCGACGTTTCAGTAAGCACGTGCGATCTTGATGCCTCAAGATGCTCTTGTTTCCGACGGATACGTGTCAGTATCTCCTGCGAGCAGTGATGATGTGGCGAACGCGCTGAACAAATCGAAATACACCGCTCTTTCACTCGCGTTATACGTATACTATATCGATCCCGTGGAGCATGATCTTCAGTGGAGTCAAGCTGACGTTCTTGTCCGGTTTTGTTCGCGCAGAACTGCCCACGCAAGTGCCTCCCTTGACGCCTGGGACCAACCAGAAGATGACCCAAGCCCTGACTGCAAGTTTCAGCAGTTGGGAGAAAGAGCGCGAATCTCTCAACATTACCAGAGGTGAGCCTACTTCGTTACGCGTAGTCGTAGAATGGTTACGAACAACTGCGTAATCATGCCAAGTCTGTGCGTGTAGTGCTGGCAGTGCACCTGGGCTTAGGGGCAGTGCTGACCAGGTGCGTCAGGCGTCTGCACTGCAGTAATGCGGTACTTTTTATGTAAATACAGTCTCTCCTCCATCCGCAATTCATTCATTCTCCGTATCTCTAATGATTAACATCTACGTTACGACCTTTTCAAGGGAGCCAGCAGATGTCTGACTCCAGTAACGCGAAATAGGTATTGCAATTAATTCGTAGAAGACAAACTTAAATATAGGGTTATTATATAATGGCCCTGATGTGTCACTTTACGTGTGAGAGACTAGGAGCCAAGAAACAGGCGGGCTTGCAAGCTGTGCTTATGATTTTCCTCCAGAAAAGTAAACAAATTTTACTCAAAGCCATTATTTGCCTTTTTTATTTTTTATTTGTCCATATATACATTCGATAGGCATTGAGCTGGGCTCATTCCGCCCGAAATAAATTATACGGCCACTCCGGTAAGGTCAGAATCGTTAATTAGTTTCGGTTCGGCGGCAACCACCTTTCAACACAAGGGAGCGGCGACCCGCGACGACTGCCCTGCACGTTTGGGGAGAAGGACCGCATCCTTGTTGTGGAATGCCCGCGTTTTGCGGGCCACGTTCGGGCACAATCCCCGCGGTGGCCAAGTGGCGTTCGCCCCCGCTTTGTGGTCCGCGCTCGCTGCGGTGGCACCCTCCCTGGGGCCGTTGCACCCCGCTGCCAGGATATCCCTTGTGTGACAGGTGAATCGCAGTTCCCCCCGTCGTTGTCATTCTGGGGTATGTCCGGCGGATGTGTCACGTGCCGCTCTGAATGTGCCCGAGGGCCATGCAAATGCTGGCGTGTTGGGTCGTCGCCCGACCGATCGACGCGGGAACCTCGTACTCGCTAGAACGAAGCCCATTCAAACAGTTCGATCAACTACGTTTGACCACGGAAACCAAGCGACGGAACGTTCGGCTGCCGTAGTAATTCGCAGCGGTATTTCGATCTAGGCCCCACGACCTTTATAGTTTACGGCACGGAGCAAGCGGGGAGCTAATCGGAAGCTTTGGTAGAGCGTTCTGATACCTCCGATAAACGACACGATGCGTGCGCCAAGGCGTCGGCGCAGTGTCGGGTATCGTTATCGGAGTTAGGGGAACGATCTGCTAAAATACCCTAAATACTGACATTACGAATGGGTGTCTGCTGGATCACGTTTCGGCGCAAGTAAGAAGACGTAAGAAGGCAATGCGCCGGCCTACAAATCCCCATTTAGCGATTTCGAATCTTAGTCGAGCTGCTCGCAATCTGTCGGAGGAGTATTTGCGGAGAAGGCGTCGTGTACCCAAAATGTAAAATAATTTCTAAAAAAAGTGAAGAAAGTCAATGTGGTTTTGATTAACCCTCAGCCGTCCGAGGTCTGGGGCGTGTCAGATACCCTCGGTTGACTTAGCACACAGAACCCCTAAAAATTTTGCTTTTTAACCTAGCATGTGATCAGTGCTCCGGCGTTGAGCGTGACTTTCCTCACGCTGTTAGTTGAGCGTTGAGATGCGTTAGGCTCCATATCTGCATCGCGCTTGGTTCTTTGGTATAGTGAGTCGTGTGACTCGCGCGGTCCGAATAACGAGGCTTAGTCAAGCAAGCAACGTCTGTTGTAACTAAGCTCTGCAGAGATTCAAAGCATGTGTATATCCGAGTGCGGCAGCGCGCATTCGCCATCGCGAAGGGTTTCCGGTTTTTAGAGTTGATCATACCTGATTCGCGGCGTAACGGCGCTCAGTCCTCGAATCGACTTTTATCAATGTTTTTTTTTTTTATTCTCTCAAAGGCGTATCCAATCAATTGTCCGCATATTTCTCCCCCGGTACTGTGTTCTAGATTTAACCCCTATTTGAAAAGGTGAGACAAATAGGGCTGGGCAATTGATCGAATAACCTACTTCAACGCGTTTAGCGCAGCACAGACTGTTGTAAACAATAAAGGGAGGTCGCTCTTGCCGGATATTGTCAGCGTACATCTTGACTCATGCAGCTGAAGTAATATTCTGTGAGTGTGAATGTCTTTGAACATCTTCTTCATTACACATCGAAATTGATTCGTTATCAAAGTTTGTAGATTGCCACCATAATCCACAAAAAGAAGTATTTATATCTATTTGTTATATATATTAAGCATTAAAATTTACTTTTGGTATAATGCATCTAAATGAACGAGACCGATTAATTAATTGATGAAAGGAAGGCGATTAATCGGGTTCAGACCTAATCGACGCCCTGCCCTATAGACAAACAATGACGCGGCGCCTAGAGCCCATTTCTTTAGTTGCACCGCGAGCGCACTGGTTTATACTCTGTGTCACTAGTTGCGTGCAGTACAGGTAAAGGGAATTGCCAGGCGGGGAGAGATAGGCGAAGGGAACGCCAGGCGGGAAAATAGGCGAATCAGCTCCCGATCTTGAGTCTACGTGTGTGGTTCTTCGGCGGTCCTTTGAAGGAGTTCGTTCTGAAGGCCCTTTTCCGTCCCAAGCCAATAGGAAGGGTATGGACGAGGAAAGAAACCTCCTCTCTAACGTTCCCAGTGTTCTCCCTTTTCCCGATTAACCTCCTCTCCCGTCCCGCGTTCCTAGTGCTCGTCCTTTCTCTCTTCGCCTGGCGCTGCCTTCGCCTGCACTGCACACAACTGGTGACACGTAGTATAGTCCGGCTAGCGTGACATGCATTCGCGTTTTGTCCGGACAAAATAACAATACCATGACAAAACATTAGCTTTTCGCCAACCGTAGCAGTCTTCAACGGTACTGCATGTCCTCAAGCGTGCTCTTAGGTCGCATAGTTATGCGGCGTGAATATCATATGCACCTTATTCCGCACGGAATATATCCAAGAAAGTGTGGTTGGCAGGGGCAGGTCCGCCAGCAGTCTTCGTTTCAATTAATCAATAATTTCTTTATTTAACTTCGGACATGCACATAAGCCTACACCAACCCAGTGGGACGCAACCTGTAGGCACTCAGGCACTGAGGAGAGATAAAGAGAGAAAGAAAGAGAGATGGAGCGGCGGGAGAGAGAAATATAGCAGAGCATTTCTCGATGAGTGTGCCAAGGATGTTGGATCGAATAGCTCTGCCAAATGCGAAGTGGAACAGGAGATCTCGAGTGACAAGCGAGATTTTGTTTGTTTGTTTTGTGGTCAGAGAACTTCAGGGGCGACCTATGATTTGTTATTTATTTTCCGGAACGGGTAATTAAATAAGTCATTCCGGAAATTGCCAGTTCGGCCGGACACAAATTGCCCTGAGGCTGTTAGGATTCGGTCAAAATCACGGCTTGTGCCGCAATGTGCCTGGGCATCGAATATTATTTTTTAATGCTTTGTTGCCTATTTTTGAGGCCTGCCAACCGTTTGCCTTTCTAGGAAGACGTTTATAGCGAAATAAATAAAACAAAAAATAATAATAACGATATGCTCGGCGTTGCTGGGCGCCCGTGTATCGATTGAGTTTGCTCTAGATCAAAACGCGATAAAGAAAAAAAAAAAAAAAGTACGACAAACTATCATATATTCAACTTTACCAAAATGCTCAAGGGCTACTTCGAGCACACGTCCCTAGTTGAGTTTTCTGTTTTGTGATTGTCGCTGTTGTGTAGGCGCATTGAGTTAGTTGCACGTTGCTTGAACGATAACGGTGAACGGGACTTTATGGGGATGCTCATCGTCGGCGCTGGACGAAGCGAAGCGGGGGAAAAAAAGGGAAGGAAAGCGAGCGGGATGACTCGGAAAGAGGGAAGAATAAGGAGGAAAGAGGAACATGACCGATAAGTAGTGGCTCCTCGTCCATCCCTAAATATAAATGGCGCTGTCTCGCGCGGTGCGATCAGAGCCGGCACGTTTCGGAGGAATGCGAGGGCGTGTCTTTTGAGATGGCGCAGTAAACGACGTCTTTCGCCTAGACTGCAGCAGATAAGAGGCGGGTAAGGTCCGTGTGGTCCTTTCTAATGACGTCGTAACTGCGCGGCGAAATGAGGTAAAAAGGCAGCGCGGGTTTGAGGAATCCTCCGTTTCTTGGAGTGGTTCTTCAGGGGACTGTGGTTGGTTCAGGGACCTGTACACCTCTGGGACTTTGAGCTGCGTTCTCTCGCCAGGTGGGAAGTAACCCTAAGAGGGGGTTCGGTTTATTTTAATTGTGCCGTGTTGTCGTGTGAACCAGGGTGAGGGGAATACGTTGAGTTTATTGGGCTCATCAACGTGTCGTTTTGTTAAGCGATTCCTCGAATCTGAATATGAACGCGAACGATGCATAGGGTACGAGGGCGAGCTACGATTTCTTGAGGGTGGCCGCCGTGCCCGCTCATGCACTATAAACGTCATTTACTGCAACGTACTCGCGCTTTTAGCTTCGGATTTCTCCTCAGCTACGATGTGTCGGGATGCATAAGAAATATGTATATATATATAAATATCTGCGAAAGTGAAAGGCGGGCTGGTCGATTACGTCTGAGGTTTTCTTTCCTGGCTATCGGCGGCTCCCTGAAATAAACGCAAGGCTCTGTTTCTATTAAAAATCTATGTGCGCTAGAGATAACCTGTTGGAAATAAGTCCCATTTCAGATATTTATTATTTTATTTTTTTCCGTTTCAATTTTATTACAACTCAGGTAGTGAAGAAAAATGCGTCCCATAGCTTCGAAAACGTAGTCACGTAAGCACGGGATGATAGCTTGCAAACTGAATATCCCTCGAATTGTCGGATACACCAGCGATCTTTAGCATCGCGTATGAGACCCTGAGCCCCTGTGGTTCCTCTGTTCGCAGACCCTCGGCAGTGGACGGAAATGGACGTAGCCCACTGGCTGGGCTGGGCGATCCGGGAGTTCAGCCTGGAGGGCGTCAACATGCCCAACTTCGCCATGAAGGGCAAGGACATGTGCGCGCTGGGCAAGGAGGCCTTCCTCACCAGGGCGCCGCCGTTCATGGGCGACATCCTCTGGGAGCACCTCGACATCCTGCAGAAAGGTGAGACCGGGCTGCTTTCGATGAGAACGTCATCCTTATTTGCCTGGTTCACGGGCACTTAAAGGGCCTTCAGAACGAACTTCTTTAAAGACCCGCTGGAGAACTACACACGTAGACTCAAAATCGCAAACTGATTCGCCTATTGTTTTTTTTTTGTTTTTTTTTTTTACGTTCTCAATGTCTTTTAGGTGAACAGTGGAACAGGAGCGACAATGTTTCATAGGTATTGCGTAGGTTCGTGCTCGTAAATACCGAAAAACCTTCAGTCTAGTTATACGCAGTCCCAATCTTACCCGGTTACAAGCGGTTATACGCGAACGAAAATGTGTGTCCAGTTTTTGTTTGAGGCGACATGCTCGCGGTTGTAGCTCCAGCTTCGCTCGCGCACTTTTGGCGAAATGAAGTACAGCTTCTCGGGCGCTTTGATCGGTTTGCCTCTGCGTCCGAGCCGTTGACACGACGGATCTGTTGGTGTTTCCTGCTCGTTTCGTCAACAGCCCCGTAAAACCAACGGTACAATACGTCGTTAAGACCCGGGGGTTTGCCCAAGGGCGGAACTTGAGGCCGAAAGTGCTCCAGTCTCCACGTGGGTGGCTCAAACAAAGCACCCGGGGGTCCCTCTTTTGAGCCGGGCCGCGCTCATTCGTGCACGCCTGTGCTTCGGCGCGGCTACGGTGTTGGCGGGGGCTCGCTGTGTTTGCATGTCGTCTGTATAGTTCCTCTCAGCATCAACGAACATGCGTGCGTTCTCTGTTTTCGAACCGCTTTAAAAGTAAGAAAGATGCGGGTAGTATGTATATTAAAAAAAAGAAAAAAAGATAACTAGTACAGAGCGGGGAGGAAACGTGGTCGTTCTCTCCCACCCAAGCGAGAGTCCGGCCGCCCCAAACGCAAATATGGAAGGCTGGGGCGGAGAGTCGGAGCTGCTCAAAAAGCCGTCCTGTTTGGCTTGTGCCTGGCGGGGACTCTGACTCACGGCGACGGCGCTATGGCTTCGCTTTGGGGCGTCAGCTTCCCCGCAGTGCAGGTTCTGACCCCCGCCACCCCCGCTTTATCTCGACTTTCGCTTTTGTTAGCTAAGCTCCACTTTGGTTCTCGAACGCGGGGAGCTTTTTTCGGGCTAAGTGGGACCACTCGAGTCCAGACTCTTTCTCTCCCCACCGGCCCGCTCCTTATTTGGGGATCATCTTTCTCCGTGTCGTCGCTATTTGCAATTGTCGTTTTTATCTCCTTCTTCGGTCTTCTGGCTAACCTGAGAGTGCTTTCATTGTGTATCCAATCTGTTCCTTCAGCTCTGTGGCGTCAGACTTGGGTTAGCTTTCATAACTCGTTTCCTTTTTACGCGTAAATTTTAAACTACTGTCACGGTTTCCGAAACTGGGAAAGCTAATTTTATTTGTCTGCACTCCAGAAAAACTGCGGCGCGTCTTTTTACCCGCAAAGCACTTGGGACTCCCACGTGTTTGGCGGAAAATCAGACACCGGATTTCTTACAGTGTACGGTGGAAGTGTGGGGATCTCATTAAACAATGACGGGTTAAACGGGCATTACCTAACGCGCAGCACGTCGTCTTACGGCATTTGGTGGAGCATTTTTAAGCCGCGGCTTTGTTCCCTCCCGTCTCTGCTTCCGTGTAGGATGTCGACGCGTGTCTGTTTCCATCAGGCTAGTTTTATTCGCAGCGTTAAGTGGACTCAAATTGCGGACATTGCGAACGACCATAAACCGGCGGCACTTCGCCTCGACGCCCAACGCGAATTAACTCGAATCGTACCAAGAAATTTTCTCGCTTTTATTCCGCGGGCGGTCGTCCTCTCGGCGGTGTCGGAAACATATAGAAGGCGTACGCGGAACTTGGTGCGCTGGCGAGAGAAGCCACTGCCCCAAGTGCGCTTCCGTTTGCTCGTGGGGTTTCACGTCGCCAGCGAAAAATTAGCGGCGTCTTTCGCATTGGTCGGACTCGACATCGACGCCACCGCCTCCTCCAGCAGCCGTTATTATGATTACCCACACCGCGTGAGTCATCATCGCGACCTCGTGCGGGTCAGCTCGCAGAACTTGCCCTTGAGGCGACACTGGGGAAAGAGAGACTCGGCATAATCAGACAACAATTGCTTTCGGGGCGGCATATACTCTACGCGCTGACGGCGACGAAGCACGCGCGTGACAGTCTACGTACTATGTATATGATCCCCGCCTTCTTTTCGGTCTCGTTCTTTCTCGTTCGCTGAACGAGAACGAACGAGATCCTCGGCCGCCGGCTGGCGGCGTACGCTTTCTCCGAGCCTCTGAAGCGTGGCGTCGTCAGCGAGAAAAAAGCGGAGCGGGTTTTGAAGGGACATTTTCTTGTTGAAGCTTTTTGTCGTCTCTTCGCTGAAAACCGGACAGCGAGGAAAAGAAATAAAACAACAACGAAACAGCTTTGAAGTAAAAAGCAGCAGAAAATAGCGTTTCAAGGTCGTCACGACGAGAAGCAACAAGTAAAGCGTGTCTTTCACGAAAGTGACCGACTGACTTTTTCATGCACGCGTGCTCGGGACGAGGGCTTTCCGAATGAAGAGTAGCGTGAGCTCGTGCCTGCAGATCGAGTTCGATTCATTCGCTCTCTGCGCGGAACTGAGCCGCCCGCACTGTGGCAGCAACGCGACTCGTGCGGATCTTGACGGCGTGTTGCTCGCGTCTTGCAAGCTTTCACGCGAACGAGGTGCAGCGCGCGAGACGTCACCTGCGCCTTTGTCCCATTTTACTCGTGCAAGTTGGCGTCAGACATGCACTATATGCACCGTTCCAGTATTTACGAGCCCTTCGCCAAGCGTGCGATCTCCCCAGCCCAGCACGCGCATGTTCGTCGCTTCGGAAAGCGAGCAAATCACGAGCCATACGCACGAACACTGAACATGTAACCTGTCAGGAGAGCATTTCTGGAAAGGTATATAGCCGCTGACAGAAGAAGACCAGCAGGACGTCTCCTTCGGACGCTTGGCCTTCAGCACGTGCTCGTTGCCTCCCGTCGTGCGTTGGCTGCACGTGCACGCTGGGAGGTCATGAGAGGCCGAAGTGTTATCGAAGCCTGGAGGAGAAAACAACTGAAAGAACTCCCTGCCGCTCTCATCATGTCGGTGCTCTATAAGTGCTTGGTAGGCAGCCTCTAAATAGTGCGGAAATAAGGAGAAAAAAAATTGCCCTGCATTTGTGTTGCTACGTGAAACGTTCTAGCGCTAGTATCCTCCGGGCACTTCTTCTGGAGCTGAGCCTCCGGGTCTCTTTACTCTTCTCCACCCCATTTGCTCGTCTCCACGTCGACTTTCACCCCGTCGGGTCGGCCCGTGTCCAGAGAGTGTGGAGAATGATGGGCTGCGGCCGGTCACGTGTCAATTTTCGCGCTAAATTTAGCGGGTAAACTGAGTTTATGTGTAGGTCAAGCGACGTCAATTTTCCCTCTAAACATAGCGGAGAAACTGAATCTGTGTAAAGGCCACGTGACACGAAGTCATGTGACATCATTTTTTCCGTTAAATTTAGCGGGGAAAGTGAATCGGTGTTGAGCTCACGTGACGTCAATTTTCCTTTTAAATCTAACGGGGAAACTGAAGTCATGCGACGTCACTGGCCACGGCTTGACAGAATCCGGAGCAACTAGCCGAAGAACTTTTCACGTTAAAAAAAATATTCCAAGTCGCGTGTTTCCTCAAACCCTCGGCAATGAATGACACTATCCTGTCAAAATATTTTGTTTTTATGCCGAGTCAATATTTGAGCGAACCTGTTCACAAAGCAACTCTAAGCGTTCTGTCGTGGCAAGTCTCCTCCGAGCTTTCTGGGGGGGTTCGTAACTTTTGTGAGCTTATACAAGATCTGGCGCACGAATGGGCAAGAGTTACGAGCAAGCAAAGTTGCGGTATAGACGGAAGAGCTGATGTTTTTGGATATTTCCTGAACTTTATTTTGCCTGCGTTTAAATTCTCTCGAGTCAGGTACATTTGTGGAGCACCTTCCAAACTCCAGAAAATATCTGTTGCGAATGAACCGTGAGACTTGCGTCTGTCCAACCACCACCATCCTTCGTACCTCTTGACGGACGATTTCCGGACAGTCAGGCACCGAAGCTTCGGTCTTCTGCGATCGACTCGAGAGAACAAACGGATCCTGTATACTTTGTAACGAGAGATCCATCGCTGTTTCGGCGCATCGGAAAGTGCAACGGCCGACGGGTTTCCCGAGCGGCCGCCCACCTTCGGCGGCTGCAAGGCGCGCGGGGAGCCGCCGTGTTGCAATGCGCTCGTGAACCTGACACAGATCGGATGGCGAGTGAGCGCTTTAGATCTTGAACTTCGCCGCATCGCTTACCGCGGAAAAAACTGGGCGCGCTCCGCAGCAGGCAGCGATTGGCGTTCAAGGCTCCCTTCGCTCGTTAGGTTCGGCCATGAGAAGGAACAACCAACATTCAAGTGGATACTACCGCTCTTGTATTTACTTTTTTTTGTTGTTTTGTTTGGTTTCTCCTTTCGCTTTTCGTCGCGTGTCATTAGTCGTAAATGTTGCTCTTTTGGTTTGACACCTTACGTAATGTCGTTCGGGGTTTTCTTCGTTCCCTCTCGCCTCTCCACTTAGGCGAGTCCTTCACGAGAATATACGACGCTTGGGAAAAAGAAGGCGACCGAAAAAATCCCGATCGCTTTTTTTTTTTTGTTCGTGCCCGGTTTCCAGAACTGTGTATTTAAGTAGTTTTTAATACCCGCTGGTTTCTTTGTTGTTTCGCGGGCAATGGGCGCCGACCAGCAACCAGCGTACTTCGGTCGCCCCTCAGCTGACAACACGGTAGAAGGTACGTGCTCGTTGAACCAGACATACGTCTGTCTTTCGCCACGTGACCACGCTGCTGCCCATACCCACGCCCAAAGAGCAGGATCACGCGATGAAACAGAGGCGGCTGATTGGTGCGGCGATCGCGTAGCTTCCACCGCACTGTCAGCTGAGAGATAAGCGGGGTATATCCAGC